GAATTTTCTATTTAAAGATGTTTAATCTGTATTTGTCTGAGCACTTATCTGTTTGCAGAACAAGAGAGGATAGGAGAGAAGAAGAGAGGAGAACTGAGGAGGGGAAAGAAGAGGAGAACTGAGGAGAGTAGAGGAGTAGTGATTGGGAAGGAGAATTTAATATATTACTAATGACTGAAGGGCAGACAGAGAGAGAGAGTCAGAAAGATTCAGAGACACAGAAAGGGGAACAGTTGGCTACATTTACATTTATTCATTTGGCCAGTGAAAGTATTGCTGCAGGTTAAACAACGATGAGAAATACACGAGGAGAAAAATATTGAAAAAAGAAACGTATACATCAAAAGAATAGATTGAGTGACAGAAATAGCTAAAAGCTGTAGGGATGAAAGATGGAAATAGCGAGTGGGAGGGAGAGAGGACGATGTGGAGAAAGATATAAAAGCAATGGCAATGGCAATATAATGAGAAAATAGGGGAGAGTGATAGAGCAGCTAAACAAGAGACAAAGATGATAGCAGGAGAGGAGGAGCAAAGACAACGAGAGTTCCAAGCATAACGCAAGAGAGACAGAGAGAGAGACTGAGAGCATGTCTCTGGGGCAGAGAGGTTGATTTGGGCCTGCTGGTGATTGGGTTTGGGGCTGCTCCTGCAGAGCCGAGGTGACTCACCAGTCTCCCACACACATATCCAGGCAGCATGAGTGTGGTAAGGAGGGAGAGAGAAAGAGCGAGATTGTGTGTGTGTGTGTGTGTGTGTGTGTGTGTGTGTGTGTGTGTGTGTGTGTGTGTGTGTGTGTGTGTGTGTGTGTACTTTCACTGCTGATGTTGTGGGGACATAAATCTGATTACATAGTCACACTGCGGCAAATGAGCGTCTTTCTGGGGACAAAAACTCCCGAATTTTTAGATTGAAGACTTAATTTAAGGTTAGAGCACCTCTCCAGGATATGAATGAGGTTAAATGTTAATGTAATGTCTTTTAAAGTGATGGATACAAGTCAGAGAAGAGTGTTGGCTTGATGGAAACACTGTTGTGTGTGAGTATCTGTACATGTGTGGTGTAGTCGTCATGCTGCATGCAGCCTACAGGGAGCTGCCACTCTTAATAACAGATAATAACACACAATTCATAGCCGTTTCAAGATGCCAACTGTCCCTGCTGATTCACTGCCTATTGTACAACCCTATTGTAAAACACACGCACACACACACACACATACAGACACACTGGTTTGAAATGAAATAATCTGATTCTTAGGTTGCTAAAAAATGTTCCATTATCCAGAGCACCAAGCATCTCATCCATCTCCGTAACAGGGTATTAAATAATACACACATGACCGGAACCTTAGCTGACATTAGCGAAACACAAATTCAAATTTATCAGTCCCGTTGATCTCCAAGGATACATTTAAATTCTCCATAATTGCACTTTCTCCCTGAGAGGCATCTCACACAGATTTGAGTGAATTAAATAAGCTGAAAACAAAGCAAGCAAAACAAATGAGGATGCACAGCGACACTGGCTGCCCATGCATCAGTATAATCCAGTATAAAAGAAATGCAGCTCGCTTAAATACTCTACATGTGACTCCATGTTCAATTCACATAAGGGTTGATAGAAGTGAGGGGCATGTATGTAGCCTTATATTTTTACATAGTTGACATGACAAGAAGGGGTTCACTTTCACTGACACTGTCCACTTGTAAATATCACCCACATTTTTGGATGTTATGTTAAACTCACAATCTGCCTAGGCAAACAGATGGACATGGAATATAAATAGTCTACTGTGTAACGAGTGCTAGATTTTAATTGTGTGTGTGTTCCTGTGAATGTCTGGTATAATGGGGCCTTAATGTTAGCTGGAACAATGCCCTTCATCATTATCTGTACTTGAATTTTAGGGACATGAAAATCTAAATCGAGTGAGCATTTCACAGTGCCAGAAAGGAGACCTGGAAGAATAATTGGAAGAATAATTTGATTTCAAAGATAATTGGGATACAATATGATCTAGAGAAGATAATTGTCCTCCTTTTTGTTTTCTTTCAAATTTCAAAGACAGGAAAGTCTGTGTGTGTGTGTGTGTTTTTTAATCTTGAAAGAGAGGCTTCAGATAAGTGACAAGCCATTATTAAAAGAGAGAAGGATCAAAATAACAGGTTTTCAAGGGAAGTCCACCAAAATCACCTTCCTCTCCTCTCCTGATTGCACGATTGGCTTCTGGATGTGTGTGACGTGAATAGTGAGTGAGGAGATGATACTGTTGAAAAGAGCCTTCCCCTCAGAGCAATTGCCTGTCTGATGCCTGGAGCCTCTATCGTGACAACACAAAGAAGAAAACCACCTAAGAACTGCTGTAAATGCTTTTCAATGTGTTTCTCTTTACAGACACCTTCAGTCATTGATGCCACTGCAATATGTTGATGCTTATGCCAGTAATTTGTACCCCTCTGTACGATGCACATTTTTCCAAGTACTTATTAAGTATCCTGATGAGATGGGGGCAGATATTTGCATGCTTCCACGTTGTTCCTGATATGTATATTTACATTGAGAGTACAGAGGAAATTGCTTACTTGATGCATAGTGATATGTTCCTGAACCTGTTAAAATTTCCATTTGCTTGAATCATGACAACTCTAAAGTGCCTCATGTAGCTTACTAAAAAGGGTATAATGTTAAATAAATGAGCCATAACAATAACACAGAAAATTGTCAGCAAACTGTAGCTTTAGGGTTTGTGATGAGTGCTCCGTGATAAACAGATGCATACATCAAAAGATCGGTACATGGCTATGACATCAGCATAACAGTGAAAATGAGCATTTATAACACTGAGTCAGACGGTTGATATATAAAATAAATAGGAAGGGGTTAACCCTGGGTACACTCTTGGCCACAATTTTTTGTTCTTAGCTGTCAAGAGTAGCAGGTGGTGTGGTCTGATTCAAGGTTTGACGTGTTGTGTGCTCAGAGACCCTCTTCTGCATACCTTGGTATGCAGAGTGGTTATCTGAGTTATTGTTGCCCTCCTATCAGGTCGAAGCAGTCTGGTGATTCTCCTCCAACCTCTGACATCAACAAAGCATTTTAACCCAAAGCTTTACTGCTCATATTTACTCTTTTTTTTTTTTGGATCATTCATGGTAAAGCCTAGAGATGGTTTTGTGGAAAAATCACAGTAGATCAGCAGTTTCTGAAATACTCACAGCAGCCATTCAGACACCAATAACCATGCCACATTCAACGTCACTTAAATCACTTTTCTTCCCATCATTCCCATGCCCAGTTTGAACCTAAATATGGCATCTTGACCATGTCTACATGCCTAAATGCATTAAGCTGTTGCCATGTGGTTAGCTGCTCATATATACACTATTCAGCTATCATCAGAGTAGCACAAAACAATAGTGACTGCATGCCAATATTTAGAGGCCAGCATGAAAAAACGAGTCATTAAAGAGGAGCATTTCTAATCAGCAGCAACAATGTGCAAGGTTGATCGACGCAAAACATGATGCAACAATGAGACTGTAACAGTTTCTCGTAGTATTTAAGTAATTCCAGAATGGTTTTCAGGTTATTTTTGCGCACTGGTTAATGTTTTCTGGAAGTAAGTATGGAGGGCAATGATAGAAGATATTCTTAGATATCTTCTATCTGAGTTTAAGAGATAGAGCACACAGACAAATTCACTGATCTGGTGTTGAAGGTTAAAGAGTATGTTTGGCTTTCTTCTTGAAAGGTTATTCCTGAGGTACCCAAAGGAGTCTGTTTTTTACGTGTGATAGAGAGGAGGAAAAAGTCTGTCTGTGTGTGTTTCTGTCTGCTTCTATCTTGGTATGCATGCGAGTGTCTTGTTTGCCACCAGCAGGTGCCATCACCTACCTTTCTGTGTGCCAATGAAACACTGTCTCTTTGAAAGAAGATAATTTGGATGACACCCATAGCTCTCAACCAGGAACCTACAGATCTTCTATTCCACAGCTTCCTCCCACCACCAACCCCTCCAGCAATCCAACCAGGCGTCTCCCTCCTTCCCACTGAGCCCCCCTCTGCCATCTCAAGCCCATGCATACCACTCGTGGAATATTTAACAGCAGACATGTTCATGAATGTCAATGTTCAGAGATCTCACAGCTTTGTGTTTTTTTTTTTTTTTTTTTTTTTTTTTTACACCTTGTTTTCCTTTCTCAGCCCTCTGGCCCTTAAACACATATTGGGTCAGTGTGAGAGAATGATCCTCCAGGCAGAACTGAGAGTTTGAGTGTGGATCTCAGTAGAAACAGTAAAGCACTATACGCTTTAAATGAAACATTAGCCATGCTTCAGTTATCATACTTAAATGTCAGAGGTAGAGTCAAGTGGAGTTAAGAATTATACATCAACCACAAGAGTGAGAAGTATAATTCAGTATGACATTTAACGTGAAAAAACTTATTTCACTTCCATTATTCCTAAAAACATTGAATGCATTTGAGTTTAAATGTTTTCTTTCTAGATATAACCTTGATACCCCCGAAAGGATCACATGCACATTCATCTTAAATCTTTTTTTTTTCTATTAAGTGCAGCGACGTTTCTATTTTGAATAAAGGTCGATGAAGGACTAGGCTGAGAATTTAATGAACAGAGATTTATAAACCAATCTTTCAAACTGTGGAGCTGAACTTTTCCCTGCTTTTTCGATGTGTTGCTTTGTGTGGTACATACAGTGCTATATGGTTGTATTTATAGATAAGTATGTTTGTGTGTGTTTGTGTGTGTGAGAGAGATCTAAATGGGGTAGCAATGTGTTCAAATTGGACATGACTCACCAGGTATTTCATCAGTGCCACCTCATAAATCCCACAACATTAAAATGCATTTCATGTGTTTGCATGTGTGTGACTGAAACAGCAATTAGCTGGTAACGCGTTGGGCTTTGTATGTGTAGTCACTGGCATGTGCTGATTTCCTGACTGCTACAACATCTCTCTCTGTTCCTGCAGGGTAGAGGAGAGTTTCAAGACTCTTTTCTGGTCAATCTTCGGGCTGTCTGAAGTGATTTCGGTGGTGCTGAAGTATGACCATAAGTTCATAGAGAACATTGGCTACGTGCTGTACGGAGTCTATAATGTCACTATGGTGGTAGTTCTTCTCAACATGCTCATTGCCATGATCAACAGCTCTTACCAGGAGATAGAGGTACAAAAACAGGATAGTTGATCAATGGAAAAAGGGTGTAATATTGTAAACAAGTCAATAAGGTTCATTTGTATGAGTGTCTGATTGTGCCTGCAGGAGAATTGCACCATTACTTAAAAAAACAAAGAGATCAATACAGTGGCAACAAGTAAAAACATCAAACGCATAATAAAATGAGTATCCCAGAAAAACCCAAAAGGTTTTAAAATAATTTTTACATTTCTGATTTTTGTCACGCTTGTTCTAAAAATGAATACTTACTTTCTTACCTGAGATATTTAAGATGAAAAAAATCATTCTTCACCTTCAATAAACATTAAGCAATAATTTTGAGTGAAATGCAACTGGAATATATGAAATCAAAGTTTTATTTATTCAAATAATCATCATTCAGACAATTTGGGTTGTCTTTTTACAGTTAAACATTTCATCTGTTCTTGGAGAAAAAAGATTATTGGAATCCACTCGGATGCTTCATAACTTAAAGCCTTGTCGGAAGTTCTAGGATAGGATAGGATAGGTTCTAGGATTATTATTCATCTGTTTATTGCTAAACTTAGTCTCCTTTTGAGCATTTGGTCTTTTTGATGTTCCCTGCCTTTATTGTAGACCAGCTTGTTGCATGTGTTCGCACTTCAGTTTTTACCCTTTATTTTTTTTACACTGCAGTGTTGAAGTGACACACATGCTACAAAGCAAGGTCATAGACATGAAAGGCACTTAGGAGTGAGTTAATAAAGATTCTTTCTAGCAAGGGTATGCAGTCAACTCTCTTTGCCTTCTCTTTTAAAACATCTCAACTGCAGATATTAATAAACACTAAGCCCTAGCCTTTCTTTTATTGCCGTCTTTCTTACCTGAGATAGTTAAGCTGAAAAAATCATTCTTCACCCTCAATAAACATTAAGCAATAATTTTGAGTGAAATGCAACTGGAATATATGAAATCAAAGTTTTATTTATTCAAATAATCATTAACAAAAATGTGCTTGGTATATATTCCCATCGAAAATATTTCATTTGACACATTACAAAAAAAATTAAATAACAGTTATGTAAGTTACATAGTTAAAGTCAACATTTTGGGCAAATTTGATATTTAGGGGTATAACCAAACAAATTTTGATATTTAAAGGTTTTAAAGGTTTCTAATAATTTGAGATACTGGATACCTGATTTCTTTCTGTCTGCCTCTGCAGGAGGATGCCGATGTGGAGTGGAAGTTTGCTCGAGCTAAGCTTTGGCTCTCCTACTTTGATGAGGGCCGCACCTTACCCGCCCCCTTTAACCTCGTTCCCAGCCCTAAGTCCTTCTATTACTTGGCCCTAAGGATCAAGTCCTGTCTGATTCACCTCTGCAAGGCCAACGGCCATCACCGTAATGAGGTGGAGATGGGCATGCTCAACTCCCAGACCAAGGTCAGTGTTTTTACTATATTTGATTATTTTACACATGTTTAGCAAACTGCTAATGACATTGTGATTCATGGTTAATTAATGATTTTCCAAACCTAGCTGCCAAAGCCATTTAATAATAGACTATTTCTTTTAAACTGATTGTTAGTGATATGTCTGTGAAGGTTCTCAGTCATCCAGGTCATCGTAGTCAAAGGAGCTTGCAAAGGATCATCAGGGGGTCCTTTTGTCCCTCTGTGGGGGGATACTCCCACTAGGTTTATATCTGGGACTCTCCACCATTTGATCGTAGAACTGAAGAAGCCTCTCGGATGAGAGGTGAAACGTCTTCAAGTAACTTAAAGAAGTCCAGACGCTTTTCTTTGCAAGCTCCTTTGATTGTTAGTGATACATTTTGTAAGCACCTTGTTTCAGCTTTTTTAACAACTGTAGTCAAGTTTTGGTTTGGTTTGGTTTCTAGCACTAAATGTAATATTTACTGCTACAAATGCAGTGCTTTTTTTATCCATTTTTCTGCTGACAGGATCCTTTCTGGCTAAAGCGCAATTGTTATTTTCCTACATGGAAGTAGTTAAACTGCTAAAAATCAATGAAGGGGCAATAAACGCTGATTACACCCACCACAATCCTCAGTGGAGTTGCCCATATGGGTCAGTTATTTGTATAATGATCATCAAATACTGAATCTTTAGCAACTGTAATTGGAGAATGCACACAGGCAAACCAGGAACCCCAGAGGAAATGTAGGATATTCCCACTGCAAGTCTAGAAATTACATCTAGTTCCGTTTCACACTTTGTTCCTCTTATGATTTGCGCTTCTAAATAAAAATCACTGCAATGACAAAAATGCCTCGTGTGACAAAAATATTATAGACCATTTAATGCGCAATCAGTCTTGGTGCTGGTGTTTTCTGCAGGCATTTCTGCTGCCTGATCCCTAAACTCAAATGGCTCACCTCAGCACCTCAGCTAGGCTATTAGGCAGGCTATTAGCTTTACCCGCGTCTGCTCAAATGCTCAGGCAGGACAAGATAGGTTACACCCCGGTGCTTCTGTGAGCGCCTAAAGTTTTCTGACAGTTTCACAGCCGACCCGAGGAAGTACAGCAAGCGATCGATACACGAGCTTGCACCAGTCTACAGTACTGTGTAAAATGTCAGCTGAGATTAGGAAAAGGCAGCCTGCTCTTTCTGTGTCTGTATCTTCGTAGTGGATGGTGTATGTTTTGGTGCCGTTTAAGAAACGTGAAGCTAATCACTTTAGATTCAAAAAGCATATGCTCATAAATTGTGTGTACTTGTGTTCATTCGGTAAGTGTTTGTTTTGTGGTGGTGTTCATGTTCGTTCTTGTGCTCTTTGGTTAACTGCCTTTCACAGCAGTAGGGATAATTAATTTCAATATGAGGTAGCTGGAGGCAGCAAAAACCCACAAAGCAGGTTACTGCATGGGGACTAGATCACAGAAAACACACCAAAGAGATTTCAGCTCTGTCAGTTGGCCTTTGTAAAACCTCTGCATAAGATATGTGTTTCTCACACTCACTGAGTCTGAAACAATAGTAGATGTCTGGGTGTATGGTACAATAAAGAAATGATAAAAAATACATTAAAAAGATATTTATTTGCCTCACAATAGCGCGCAAAAATGCTATAATAATAATAATAATAATGGATTGGATTTATATAGCACTTTTCAAGGCACCCAAAGCGCTTTACAATACCACTATTCATTCACTCTCGCATTCATACACTGGTGGAGGCAAGCTACGGTTGTAGCCACAGCTGCCCTGGGGCAGACTGACAGAAGCGAGGCTGCCATTTCGTGCCATCGGCCCCTCTGGCCAACACCAGTAGGCAGTGTTGGGAAGGTTACTTTTAAAATGTATTCCACTACAGATTACAGAATACATGCCCCAAAATGTATTCTGTAACGTATTCCGTTACGTTACTCAATGACAGTAACGTATTCTGAATACTTTGGATTACTTAATATATTATCATGCTTTTTACAACAACGTGAATGTACTATTGCTGTGTGATTTATTACTATTACTGAAGGTCCGCGACTCCGAACTGTAGTAAAGGGACCTCTGACTAATACGGCGGGTCCGTAGCCAAAAAATAGCTTTACTTTGTTGTGTGGGTCAACTTTTCTTGACAGAGAGAGGCGTTGAAAGGCTGCTCCAACGGAACTTATTGTTTTCGGAGGAAAACACGAACACGGTGTACAGTCGAGTCTTAATAGCTTACTTACAACTGGGCTCGTCAGGCTCTCTTCTTGGCTGCAGTGGTTACCGTATTATTATATTTACATTAGGGTAGGGTAAAGTGTCTTGCCCAAGGACACAACGACCAGGACAGAGAGCCCAGGGATCGAACCGGCGACCTTCCGGTTACAGATACGCTTCCCAACCCCCTGAGCCACGGTTGCTGTTCCTCCAGTTCACAAGATGAACTTCCCTGCAAAAAAAAACAAAACATAAAGTCACTGAGAGCTCAAACTGACAACTGAAGTACCAAGCTTTTCATCTTGATAAATGCTCTCTCATAACGAACATTAGCTAAGGGGTTCTTCTGGTTTGATTTTAAAGGGAACCCATTTTTATTAAGTTACAGTAGTTATTTGCATGGTCTTATTTTTATTCAAACAATTTGGGTTGTCTTTTTACAGTTAAACATTTCATCTGTTCTTGGAGAAAAAAGATTATTGGAATCCACTCGGATGCTTCATAACTTAAAGCCTTGTCGGAAGTTCTAGGATAGGATAGGTTATTCATCTGTTTATTGCTAAACTTAGTCTCCTTTTGAGCATTTGGTCTTTTTGATGTTTCCTGCCTTTACTGTAGACCAGCTTGTTGCATGTGTTCGCACTTCAGTTTATACCCTTTATTTTTTTTACACTGCAGTGTTGAAGTGACACACATGCTATAAAGCAAGGTCATAGACATGAAAGGCACTTAGGAGTGAGTTAATAAAGATTCTTTCTGGCAAGGTTATGCAGTCAACTCTCTTTGCCTTCTCTTTTAAAACATCTCAACTGCAGATATTAATAAACACTAAGCCCTAGCCTTTCTTTTATTGCCATCTTGCCACTATGATGCCTCCGTTAACACCCTTTTCAAATGCTTCCGTCTGACATGATCCATAGAACCTGAAATATGACATTAACACTCGACTTCTTCTATCTGTTTCTTGCTCTTGTAGGATGAACGCTTCAAGTCTTATCCACGGCCTGGAGAAGAGTTCACCCAGAGAAAAGCTAGAAAACACCCCACCAGATACCAGGTAAGATGGAGACCGAACTGGATACAGAGAGCACAGGATGTGTGGAGTGATAAGGAGACAAGACTTAAAATTTTGATGGAGGCAAGAAAGGAATCAAATGGGAGACAAATAGACAGCATAAGGAATATGTAAGAGAATAGTATTAGATGGGAGGGCAAGGTTTGCTGCAGGGTGATGACAGTGAAGGAGAAAGGAGAGGGAAGCAATGAGGAAATTCTGACACAGAAGAAAGAAGAAAGAAGGTGTGAGGAAGACACAGAGATAAGGTAGAGATGGTGGAGAGGAAGAAATCTCTCAAGTTTCAATGGAAGGGCACTGACTGAAAGGAAGAGGTAAAAAGAGAAGAGAGAGAAACAGGGTAAGGCTGAAAATTCCTCTAATGAGCTGTTTGAAAGAGATCGAAGGTAGGCACTCAGTAAATGAGCTCAAAGTATAACACTGAGAAGGGGAAAGATGCTTTCCACCTTAGTCTGTTCTTCACCTCTCCCCTGAGGGAAATCTAGCTTCCTTGATAGGCTGACTCCACTTTTGTCTTAAGCCTCCTATTTTGTGTGTTTTTTACTAGACTACACTACACACACCCACACACAAAAGTGAGATGTCAATTGGTGTGGTGTGCATGTATGCTACATGTGGGGTGACCAGTACTGACCCATGTTCACAGTGCCTACATGCAGAAATTGACAGCTTGAAGCTTGGAAACAGTTGCAGCAGATCCCTGTTGGCCACAGATTTATTCTCAGTGTCTCACTTACTATCTCAAAGGCACAGTACTCACTCACTGTCCTCACAGCTTTGTGCTTATGTTTACACACAAGCGTGGATGAGTTTTGAAATATGCAATCAGAGAAGTTTACTGGGTAAATATAGCATCCGTCGTCACATCCCCTTGACACGTCCTCTTTGTCTAATCTTCTTTTTCTTCTCTTTCTCATAGAAGATCATGAAGCGCCTGATTAAGCGTTATGTGCTTAAGGCTCAAGTGGACAGAGAGAGTGATGAAGTTAATGAAGGTAAAAATTCCCTCTTCATTAAAGCCCACTTTCATTGTGTCATTATGTGCTTAAGGAACACTGGGTTCGGAAAGTTTTCAGACGCTTTCAACTTTTCTGCATATTGGTACAGTATGTATAAAAATGTCTTAATAGATTCAGTTCACTTAAAAAATATAAATGGAGTTGTAACACTTTAAAAAGACAGAGTAAAAATGCTTGTGCGTGTGTGTGTGTGTGTAAATTAAAAAATAAAAGGTTAAAATATGCTTTTAACATAAGTATTCGGAGTGTGGAGAGGTTTGCACAAGGTTGGCATACCATTATTTTGGAAAATTTCCAACAAGGTTGGATGGGGGAGCCACTTTCAGGTGTCTCTGTACTCCTAAGTCTTTGTTGAAGTAGAGCATCCCCACAGTATGATGCTCCCCCATCATGTTTGGCTGTAGGGATGGTATTAATGAGGGAACACTCAGTGCCTGGTTTCCTATACACACTCCACTGGGAATTTCAGCCAGTAGTTTAATCATCCTGTCATTAGACCAGAGGAGTTTGCTTTGCATGGTCAGAAATACATCCAGGTGCCTTTTGGCAAACTCCTCGCGGGCTGCTACGTGCCTTTTAGTGAGGAATGGCTTCTGTTTGGCCAATCTACAACAAAAGCCTAATTGGTGGCTGCTGCATTGAATTTGTCTTGTAAAGTTATCCCATCTTTGCAAAGGAGCTCTGGAACTCATTAATAGTGATCACCTGATTTCTGGTTACGTGTTGCATCGGGGCCCTTTCATCTCTCATTACTCTGTTTGGCTAAGTGGGCAGATCTAAAGAGACTGTTCATACGTTTTCAACTTTTCTCCATTAGAGAACAATGAACACTTTGAATGCTGCAGAAAATTTCTTGGATCCTCCCCCAATTGTTACTTTAGACAGGCTTTTGTGATGATTGTGCAGACAGTTCTGTGAACATAGTGGGTTGGCTTTCACTTTGACACACCATTAACTGTGAGACCTTATGTACTAATTATTTCAGGTGAATTAGGCGCAACTGTCTTCGTTTTAGTTGCAGCAACATTTGAAGCCTAAAAAAAATTCAAAATTTAATATTCACCTCTTAGTTTTATTAGATTGAAAAATGGCTTTGTCACCGTGGAGTATTGTGTGTTTACTGAAGAAAGAAAAACGAGCCTAATAACTTTTTAGATGAAACTGAAGCTTTGAAAAGGTTTTTAAATTTTCTAAATGGACTGGGCGGGACAAGAGTTATGCGTTACTGCGTTTGAGACTGCACTGTGTGTACTTCAGTGTAAAATTATGTCATTGCTCACATGGATCAACAGTTTTTGTGTGATCCTGTAGGTTACTGCCTACCTGCATGCATGTCTTTGATCATTCGTACTAATGTGCCCTAATTCCTGTGCCATACCTCAGCTCTTCTTTTGTACCTGTGTCCGTGTGTGACTGTGTTGTAGGCGAGCTGAAGGAGATCAAGCAAGACATTTCCAGCCTCCGCTATGAACTCCTGGAGGAGAAGTCCCAGGCCGCAGGCGAGCTGGCTCTGCTTATCCAGCAACTTGGCGACAAGTTTGGCAAGAACACCATGAGACACTGACAGGACTTGCAAGAAGAGATGGGGAGAATGTGAGAAAGGGTGAAATCAGGAAGAGGTTGGGGGTGGGGGGGTTGGGAGCAGAAAGCTGGGTGAGCACAGGTATTTTTAAGGCCTTGATAGTACAAGGGGGAGAGAAAAGAGACAGGGGAAGTAGGATGTTTATGAGATAGACAGGATGAATGGAGGACAGTGGAAGAAAAACATGACATAAAGAAACTGGGCAGAGTGAAACAGCTGATTTAGTTATGCAAGGACACAATTAGGGAGGAATGTGAAAAGCAGATTGTGAACACAAGAGGGTCAGAGGTGAAGTAAAGCGAGTCAGAGGGGTTTTGTGCTGACAGTTCAATTCTAATTAAAGGCAAAGTCTTTCACGAGGCGCGAGAAAGAAGAGGAAGAAAGAGCCTCGCAGGCTGGGTGGGAGGCAGAGGGAGACGAATGAGGAGGAAAACACAACTTCCATGAGATATGACGAGGCACCACGGGGCATAAGACTGAGGCAGTAAAAGCCCCCACACCCACTGCCAAGATATATCAATGTATCACCAACTCGGAGAGGGAAACCCAGAAACGGGATGACACAGAGAGAGGGCTGGAGGGGGAGAGGAACAAGTGAGAAAAATATCTTTAAAAAAAAAACCTGCCACTGTTATTTACACCGGAGAGGCTGGCATTGCTTCTGAGTCCTCACTTTGTTGGGGCAAGCATAGATGCCTGTGAGAATACTGCACACACCTTTATACAGCAGGCTGTCTAATTAATGCATATCCATTCATAGTGCACAACCTATGATCAGGACTCTATGGATTCAGGAAAAATGCACCTATTTAAAAGTCATTAAATAAACCACTGAAATATTAAACATTATCTTATTATCTTAATGTCATTTAGAATTCTGTCCTCATAGCACAGACAGTATTAGGTCCTGCAGATCCAGAAGATCCATGCTAGAACAAAATGACTGTAATTTAAGAAAAAAAAATCCACTCAGACAGTTTCTTCTTTACCTCATTCATGCTGCCAGAAAAGAAAATGACAGTTAGGATAAACAGAAACTAATCTGAGGCTTTCACAATACCTCTCTTCCATTCTTTAAAATCGAGAGGGCCATTCTTGTTTCAACAACTTTAAACCAGCGTGTTGAAGTATGGCCGAGATAATTGCTTTAGATATTCCCCTCTCCACTGTGTGTTTGGAGCACTAAGTGTCTCGAGTTTTCTAAAATGGTAACAAAAAAATGACAGGTCCACGATGTTTACAACTCTAAATCCAGAAGGTCAGCACTGAGGTTAAGCCCATGAAGGTAGCAAAACTGAGTCTGCTCCAGGGCAGCCAGACATTTGTGAGGAGAGAAAATCTCCGAGATGCAGAGATATATTTATGTATGCAGTGATCTGGCAGTAAAACTGGAATTCAGCTGCAGAAGCTGTGCAGAGTTATTTTATGGTCTTTATTTTATTTTGGAGACATATTTGACATACAACAGCATAAACTAAAGTGTTGTGTTAGACATTGGTTGTAGCTGAACAATAGTTTAAACAAACAAAATAAAAAAAAGTATAAAACAGTTTGAGAAGTTATTAAATCTGGACATTATTGTAGTATATTATATAAATGGGGTGCTAAAATCGATGATGACCTGTGGGATCAGATACATCATCGTTCCCGTTTGTGACTGAGGCCCAGATTTTGATTTAAAGCAAATATGAACATACTAGGCATCCCAAAGCTGAAAGACACACCAGTAGCTCTAGTTAAGAAGCTCCTGTCCTTAAATTCAAGGTTCTTTCTTGAATCCTTGAAAATTATACTTCATTCAAAACATCAACATCCAGTGCTGGCAGTCACACCAATCTGCACATTTTTCCACATTTAAGTTTAGAGACGCCATGTCATAATCAGTGGGTTAGACTGGTTCCTCCAAGGCTTTTTCTATGAATTCAGAAAATTAGAATATACCGTTCACTTTCATCAATCCTTCTTGAAATTAATCAGATAAAATGTAAATATATTTAAGCTAACGCAGAACTATATTACCATTCTTTTATTGTGTGGCTGGTTACAGTAGTTATTTGCCCTCAGATGGAAGAGTCAAGATGGGCCTATTGCAGCCATCAGCAACAGTGTCATTAGGAATTTTTTTCATGGTTCTAGTAATTGTCCTAGCTAGTATACACTATTTCTCCTGCAAGTAGACATTGCAGGAGTTAGAGGGCTTTTTTAAGGATATTTTCTAATCTCCTGCTACAGAGTAAGTGTTTTTCCTGCTTAAGAACTATAATTGGTTCAGCAGTGTTTATTCACTAGTTCAACACATGAACGCAGCAACTGGCATTAAGAAAAAGAAAGTAAACACTGGTAAATATTAGCCTAGAAAATGTTTCTAGCCTCTATACGAGAGAGGGAATACAGCATGTTTTTAAATTGTCAAAGAAAATCTTTTGTTAGCAGGTCCTCTTAAATTTCTACTTTGCATCCACCACAGAACAAAAGCCACGTAGACAGAAAAGAGGCTGAAACAGGATTGCAGGAAAATAAAAGACCGCAGCAAGAGCTGATGATAAATTACCGACTTGCTGTTGCATCACTTTAGAGTTCCTAATAGTGGTCCAAGTTAAACAAATGCTTGAACAAACAACTTTGAAAGTGGGTGTTTGCCAGGCAGAGCCCAGGTAGTTCCCAAAACCATCAAGTCATCTTTGACAGTAAAACCTAAAACCTGCATATATATGTATAATTAAAATGTACAGTAGTGTATGTATATATACATACACTACTGTATAATTTCATTCTTACAGATAGGACTTCATTCTTATAGATAGGGCTTAAACTCGCTAGTAGGAAAATACGACCAAGTATATTTCTAATTCAAATAGATAGTAAGTATTTAATCAGAAGGCTTTAAACATAATTAAAATGCTGTTTTTACAGATATGATTTTTTAATTTGTTTCAGATACATAAAGGCTTTTCAGACAGATTTTCATTTCAATTAAATGGACTCGACCTTATTTCTTTATTTATTTGTATTAGGTGTTAAAGCTGTTAATTAGTTTCCTTTTTGCAGAACCATGCAAATGATGAAAAGACCCACCACCAGGAAGAGAACATTTCCTCAAATACTGTATTTTTAACTTCTACACAAGAATTAATAATTAAATCAAAATCTTGTATGGTATATTGTCATATTTTTGATCCTTAAATTAAACAGAGTAAGCTCTATATTGACTGTTGTTGTTGTTGTTTTTTATTTATTTACCTTGTATGTTTCTGCTTCTGGAATTTAATTATTCAGCATTTGTCTTTACCTTTACCCACTAGTGGATGAGAGGTGCTGGAGCAAGAAAATAAACATGTGGCTGCTGAATTGTTTTGTGCTCCAACAACATTGTTCACAACACATTGAACAGCTGGGAGTTCCCCAGACAGAATGTACACTTTCACACAGTGTGACAAATGTATAATACACATAATATTTTTAATAAAACATATGTATAATGAAATATATCCATATATTTTGTGTTGTGTTGTACACATATATATGAGCACCTCAACATGATAGTCTGCTTTACATCCATCCATCATCCATTGTGTTGACCACTTATCCAACCAGGGTCATACTGAAGCTGGAGCCTTCCCAGCTGACACTGGGTGAAAGGCGGGACAAGTGATGGACAGGTTGCCACTCTTTCACAGGGATAACATGGAGAGACAGACAACTACTGGCTCCTGGACAGTGGTAGGAAGGGGTGACAGTGATGAGCACTAACAGTGTGCCACCCTTCTGTTTCCACAATTTTTTGTATTTTACGCAGCTTAGCATGCAAACTCATCTAATACGTATTTAATAGTCTTTGCCCACAATTATAGTTAATTATAATGTGATGTCATGGAAACACTAATAACTTAACTCAAAGTCCCTCTGTCAGGTATTAGAGCTTAGCTATAGTGCCAGATTGAGGACATCTTAGCCAGATTTCCACCCTCATGGTCCTACTGCCCTCAAACCTCTATAAACACCCACCTTGCTGTAATGTTTCTTTTGTGATAATGAGCTGCGCTTCAGGAACAGTTTCTTAAAACCACAGCAAAGTCTTACTACTGTAAAAGCGTTACATCAAGCTAATGCTGCCTTGATATAGACCATTTTAGACTGACTTTGAAGAGGGTTTAAAAGCCAAGGAGCCCCACTGTGACTGGGAAATTGGCTTTGCTCTAAGCCGGAGTGTGTGTGTGCTTGTGTTCCTGCACCTGTGTGCTGACCTCGCCAGCGCCTCCTGAAAGCTGCCCTCTAAAACGGCACAGCAAACACTCGGTTCCTACGTACGTGCAGATGTTTATTAGGCTCTAGTCTTTCCATGATATTCAGTCAACACTTTCTCTGCACTGTTTCAGGCTGTCACTTTTTTTTAAAAAAAAACTTTTACTGCCTCTACTGCAATAATAAAAACGCCAACAAACACCTTTAGTTTTCACTAAAACCTGCCTTAAATGGTCTTCTTTTAGATGACAAACAGCAGATTTTGGTGTCCTTGTTTCCACTAAAATTTATTTTTGTGACTATTGAGACACGACAGGGTTATACAGAAGATGTCATTTCAGGAGAAGAAATATTTTGATTAAAAAGTCTTCCATTCATTTAGCCTTTTTCTGCCTGTCAGGATCCTTGTAAAGATTTGTCCTAGACTTCCTTTGTTTTGGGTGATTTTTTTTGTTTGGTTTTTTGCTTCCTTTGTGATTTTGAAGGTTTTGCTCATTTTATGGGACTCCTGTGTTCCCTCTGTGTGTCTGCTTTACTCGGCTTTATTCTGAAGATTAGCTCCTTAAGAGACCTTCTGTGTTTTTACTTCCCTCCTTTTGTTTTTCCCATCCTCATTAGTGTCTGAGTTTTTGTGTACATGTGTTTTTCCTTCAGTCTTATCGGTTGTCGTTACTAACTTTTGTTGTTAAGTGTTCCCCGTTTTAATTTTCTCCAGCTGGCTCTCTGCATTTAGATGGCTTGTATCGTTTTTACTTTTACCACACCAAGTTTTTCCACAATCTGATTGCCTGCACACTGGGTCCTTTGCTGTCTTGACTACTGGCATTGATACCTTGGATTTTTCCTCGTCTTTGGGAGTCATGATGGTGTAGGCAGTGAAGGAAGTCTGTTATGTGCTCACGCTGGCTATGCTACAGTCCAAAAGAAAGTTTCTGACCGTGACAATACCCACTACTAAAAATCCCACCTCGTGTAATAGGATTTAATCATTTGGGCAAAATCTTTCTAGTAACAATTTTAAACATGCAGAAAAGAAGTAGTTACATAGGAGAATCCATTACCTTGAATTATAACCTCTGACAACTCCTCACTTTGTTTTTTCTGGTCTTTCTGCCTCTTTATGCAGACCAATAAAGCCAAAATTCTTTAAAAAAAAAGAAAAAAAGACTTCCTTTAATCCTGCACAGAAATGCTGTAAAGCACACAAAAACACAAACAGCAGCCCAGACCCTTACTGGACTATCTCCATAGCAACAAAGTCAGTTCAGAGGGATATGTGCTTTTGGACATTCACTGGAAATTCTATTATCTGATTTCCTTCAGTGCTCTCCCTGAGACTTTTGATATGTTTTGGGCCTTAAGGGTATTACTCAATAACACACCCTGTCAAGCTAGGTGTGTATTTATGTGTATCCATGTTTGTGTTTAAACCTGGAGGTAACATTTTATGGAAGTGCGTATGTTGATGCTTGTTTGTGTATGATCTGTAAGCTATCACTGGCCTATCAGCTGGCGTTAATGACAATGAGGACATTTGTGTGTGTGTGTGTGTGTGTGTGTGTGTGTGTGTGTGTGTGTGTGTGTGTGTGTGTGTGTGTGTGTGTGTGTGTGTGTGTGTGCCCACATGTGTGTCTTAGAGCAACGCAGTATAACTGACATCCCCTCTGTGGTGTAATTTGTCCCAGAAGCCCAGGGCCAGGAAGTGTTTGTTGTCTGTTTCCCTCTTAACTCCTTTTCTCCCTCACCCTCCATCCTTCTCACCTCCTTCATCAGTCCTTCTCTCTCTCCCGGCAAAGCAGTGAACAATGTGACCTCCTGCCTCCGAAAGACAGAGATTCCAGGGATTTTGGAGGAAACATTACACTCTCTCCCATGTTCCCCATCCTACTGCCTAGAAGCCGTTTTAGAAGACAGACTTAGCAGCATGCACACACACACACAATGCTTGTATAAATACAAGCTTATGTAGAAGCTTACTCTTCCTCATATGATATAATATTAGAAGCTTGAATACATACGTAGGCGGGCACTAACGCCATCTTTGCCAGAAATCTGCACACATTACACACACTGAAGTATGAATACTCTCACATGCATACACACCAGACTGTCTGTTACAAACACTCACGTTTAAACAGTAAATGCTAGCTTGCTTGTACACAAACAAAAGCTTGCACAAATATATTAATGGGACACCGAAGTGTTGTTGAACTCAAAAGTCACTCTTGCTTTCAAAGACAAGCATGTGTTTGTGGCGGGGTGTGGCGGATGCACCTGCACGGCATCCGCAAGCCACACCCTGCCACAGTGTTGCTCATCATTTTTGCACGATAACGCACAAAGACAGCTCCTGTCCAAGGCACCATTCACACCCATAGGCCCTCTCACTTTCCCATCACAATCCTCATTAGGGGAAAGCCCTCTGGAGAGAAGCTCATCAAGAAAAACCTTTTAAACAAACCAAAGGTCAGCTGTACAGCATGTAACCACAGCCTTAGAATCATACTCACTTCTCAGATAAAAGACAGCATAGAATGTTCTGTGCTTTTTCTCCTGTTTGCTGACATGAGAGTCTGTAAAAATCTGCAGTTTTTTGGGGGGGACCTTATTACAAATTCTCATCATTGGTGAAATCCAAATGTGCAATTTCTAGATAAGTTGAGAGGTCTGACGCTGTGGGGGTGGGCGTGGTGTGTGGGGATTTCAAAAGGAAAGATTCGCCAAGTCTTTACCAATTCTCTAAAGCAATGTTGCGCTGGTTCAAGATGGATGAGGGGACTCGTTTGACAACTCCGAGGAGCTCTCCAGGTGGCTCAACAGGGCCTTAAGGCGCGTGAGCTGCTGCACTGAGGAATGAGAGTGTCTGCAGCCATGAGTGCACTCATAATTGCAAAGTGAGAAGCATGAAATGCTCTCACACAAGATAAATGTGTCAGGTGTGCATCTCTGTAATAAGAAGATCTTTCCCCCAGAAAGAGCTCTTTCTGTCGACCACATTTGAGGCTCGGGATAGAAATGGGTAGCGAGGGCTTTATTGGTCTGCTATTTAAAATAATCTGAAGGACAATTAAACTAATTTACCGTTCCTGCCCTGACCATCTGACAGAATTTCTCTTTAAGTGCCTACAGACAGATACTTTACTGGGATTTTAATTATTCTGCCTCTTAGTTCAACTAAAGCACTAAATACCATTTAATTGCACCATTTTCAAAGTTTTTGTAGCATTAAAGCTAGAAATCAGTCCGTTTTCTAGGTTTATTATTAAAAATAAAAAGCTACATGTTTGAGAAGAGCCACGGTTTCTGTCCTGAAAAAAGTATTGATCCTGAGAGATTAGCTTAATTCCTGAACACTAGTCACCGCCACCTGTTACCACCACCTTATAACAAATGCTCAACAATATTGTGTAGTTTCAAAAGCTACAAGATTTTCCAGCGATCAGAGCGTTTGTTAACTTACAGGGTAAACATTCAACTATCAGAGTCAGCAAAAGGATGCAAAAATATCACTCGACAGTCCACCTGACTTGCTGAAAATCTAACAGCAGTCATATACAGCACTGAACAGTACTTTTCATGCATGACTCTGTATTTCATTATCAACATCATCAGCATCAACAACTTAGTAGTAGTCGGCTCTCATCATTTATCCACTTCGTGACAGTGAACAACACCTGTGGAATGACCACTAAGGAGTCTAGTGGACCCGGTGCTACATTTTCTGCAGTGCAAACATTCTCCCATTCACTTTTCTATAAGACTCATTTTCCGTAAGAAAAATGAGTCTTCTGCAAGACTCATTTGTGAGTAAGAAAAGAGTCGTAGAGAGGAAGTTATGTTTATAAAAATCCCAGAGCTGCTGCAGCAACATTTCCCCTCAGTTTATTTATGTACCTACAGCATAGTTTCCCTTTTATGGGCTGGTCATAGCTTT